GACAGGTCTAAGTACTGCAAAAGAAAGATAAGATATTGTTGGAGAAAACATACATAACGTTGGCAGAAGACTAGATACTGCTTGTAGAAGACTAAATATTGCTTTCTAAAGACTAGATACTTCCGACAGGTCTAAATACAGCGTCTGGAACACTAAATACTGCCTTCTAAAGACTAAAATTGTTTTGTGGAGACTAAATACTGTTTTCTGAAGACTATATATTGCTGACAGGTTTAAGTACTGCAAAAGAAAGATAAGATATTGTTGGAGAAAACATACGTAACGTTAGCAGAAGACTAGATACTGCTTGTAGAAAACTAGATACTGTTAACAGGTCTGAATACTGCAAAAGAAAGATAAAATATTTTGGAGAAAGCATACATAACTTTGGCAGAAGACTAGATACTGTTTCTAGAAGACTAAATACTGCTTTCTAAAGACTAGATACTTCCGACAGGTCTATATACAGCGTCTGGAACACTAAATACTGCCTTCTAAAGACTAAAATTGTTTTGTGGAGACTAAATACTGCTTTTTGAAGACTAGATACTTCCGACAGGTCTAAATACAGCGTCTGGAATACTAAATACTGCTTTCTAAAGACTAAAATTGCTTTCTAAAGACTAAAATTGCTTTGTGGAGACTAAATACTGCTTTCTGAAGACTAGATACTGCTAACAGGTCTAAATACTGCAAAAGAAAGATAAAATATTTTGGAGAAAACATACATAACTTTGGCAGAAGACTAGATACTGCTTCTAGAAGACTAAATACTGCTTTCTGAAGACTAGATACTGCCGACAGGTCTAAATACAGCGTCTGGAACACTAAATACTGCTTTCTAAAGACTAAAATTGCTTTGTGGAGACTAAATACTGCTTTCTGAAGACTATATATTGCTGACAGTTCTAAGTACTGCAAAAAAAAGATAAGATTTTGTTGGAGAAAACATACATAACGTTGGCAGAAGACTAGATACTGCTTGTAGAAGACTAAATATTGCTTTCTAAAGACTAGATACTTCCGACAGGGCTAAATACAGCGTCTGGAACACTAAATACTGCCTTCTAAAGACTAGAATTGTTTTGTGAAGACTAAATACTGCTTTCTGAAGACTAGATACTGCTTTCTGAAGACTAGATACTGCTAACAGGTCTAAATACTGCAAATCAAAGATAGAATATTTTTGAGAAAACATATATAACTTTGGCAGAAGACTAGATACTGCTTCTAGAAGACTAAATACTGCTTTCTGAAGACTAGATACTGCCGACAGGTCTAAATACAGCGTCTGGAACACTAAATACTGCTTTCTAAAGACTAAAATTGCTTTGTGGAGACTAAATACTGCTTTCTGAAGACTAAAAATTATTATTTTGAGGTTATCTCTTTAATTATTGATTAAATAAAAAAAAAATGTTGACAAAGTTTGTTTAGAATTGTTTCAGGAATAATTTTTGTTAACACAATTTTTTTCTAATTTGAAATTTTAATTTCCCACTGAACAGTATGCTGTTCTTTTAATCAAGATTTTCTGAGAACGAGTGGAGGGGAGAAATCGTATCGTTTTGTTACAAAAGTTCCGTGCCCTGCTAATAACATAACTAATTTGTTTACTTAATAATCTCTCCAGAGGCATTATAAATCTTAAAATCAAATTCTTTTTCATATTTTTTTAATCTCCTTTTTTATCATATCCAGATCAATCGGATCAACATTTGACGTGACCGTTACAAAAAAATCATCAACTTTAGCTGAAGATTTTACTAAAGATGTGGATATCAACGAAGATTTTTCTAAAAACACAATCGATTTTTCTAAAAGTTTACAGGATAACACCGCTAAAATCGAAAATAAGTCTCCCCTAATTACATCAAGCGCCGAACCCGATGTGATTATAAATCCAAAAATTACCGAATGGATTTCAAAATCATCAACAGTCAATAAAAATCAATCGATGGATTACGGTAATTTCCCAAAAAGATGGTGTTACCCATATTTAGAGACGGGAAAATGTGTCAAATTTAAATGCCCTTTTAAACATACAATGTTAGAGGTTGATTTTAATACGATTTCACCAGAAAATTTCGAAATAATCTTCAACGGTTGCGTTAAATTTACGTATTTATTCAAAACATTTTTCGATTCTCTTCTAAACTATTTAATGGAAAAGGAACGAAAAGATTTAATCCTAAGTCTAGTATTACACGTAATGAAGCGGGTTAAAGACGAAAAAATGCCTTTTGTCAAAAAAATAATCACCACATTAAAAAACATCGGATTTACCTTCGTTGAAGCGATCAACGAAATTTTATTTACATGCGGCCGAAGTAACGAAGGCTTATTAGACATCTTATTGGCGTTTGCCGTTGAGGACGAAGATTGCGTTAAAACATCTTGGAACGTTATTGCAAATTTAATTAATTTTCGCCGCACCGGATTAGATTTTGGCGTAACCCAAGATATTTTTACAAAATGCTTAAACGATTACGATCAAATTTTAGCCGAAAACATATACAAAGATGTCATCGTTAAAAACAATTTTAATTTGAATCAAATCGACAGATCAATTTTAATTAATTACATTTCGCTGTTACAAGATCACCACAAAGAAGGAGCTGAATACATCATTACTAATTATAACATAAACGAATTNGTATTAATTAAACTATTAATTTTATGTTTTTACCCCTTTTCTTTTGTAGTTCCGTAGTGAATGTAAACAAAAGAAAAGAAATGCTAACTCAATTCATTTTAAGGGGCAAAAGTATGATAAAAAGGAACTTTTAAGGAGCTTAAATTGCAAAGTGGTAATTGAGAAATCTCGGTGCGTTGAGAAATTAATTTTAGCCCAATTGTATAAAGTGGAAATACAGATCCGTTGTAATAATCGGTCGCACACAAAGCTAGAAAATTTTCGCATGCTTTTGGGCAAGCTTCGCAAAACAATTCTAACTTTATCGTTCCTAAATCGGTGTGTAATGTTACAGCCTAAAAAATAAATTTAAACCATATTGAGGTTAGGTTATCTGTCAATGAATTGTTGCTGTTTAATCTAACCTAAAAGTGTGAAGAAACGTGTTCGTTACAAAAAAAATTGATTTAATGTAAAAATAAGTGAGATTTAATACGGTTTTATTTGGTTTATTTGAAAATCGATTAATTAATTTTATTCTAAAACAGATTTAGAATTTATTTTAATTTTATAGGAAAATTAATAACCTAACACTTTCGTGGGTAAGTTAGATTCCCTTAAATTTGACGTATTAAGTATAACCTGTAAACAAATAAACTTGAGGATTTTTATAAACTTTTTAAACAAACTTTATTAAAAAGAATTTAAATGAACGTTAGTATTAATTAAATTATTAATTTTATGTTTTTACCCATTTTCTTTTGTAGCTCCTTAGTGAATGTAAACAAAAGAAAAGAAATGCTAACTCAATTCGTTTTAAGGGGCAAAAGTATGATAAAAAGGAACTTTTAAGGAGCTTAAATTGCAAAGTGGTTATTGAGAAATCTCGGTGCGTTGAGAAATTAATTTTAGCCCAATTGTATAAAGTGGAAATACGGATCCGTTGTAATAATCACTCGCACACAAAGCTAGGAAATTTTCGCATGCTTTCGAGCAAGCTTCGCAAAACAATTCTAACTTTATCGTTCCTAAATCGGTGTGTAATGTTGCAGCCTAAAAAATAAATTAATTAAATAAATTTAAACCATATTGAGGTTAGGTTATCTGTCAATGAATTGTTGCTGTTTAATCTAACCTAAAAGTGTGAAGAAACGCGTTCGTTATAAAAAAAATTGATTTAATGTAAAAATAAGTGAAATTTAATACGCTTTTATTTGGTTTATATGAAAATCGATTAATTAACTTTATTCTAAAATAGATTTAGAATTTAATTTTATAGGAAAATTAATAACCTAACACTTTCGTGGGTAAGTTAGATTCCTTTAAATTTGACGTATTAAGTATAACCTATAAACAAATAAACTTGAGGATTTGTATAAACTTTTTAAACAAACTTTATTAAAAAGAATTTAAATGAACGTTAGTATTAATTAAATTATTAATTTTATGTTTTTACCCCTTTTTTTTTGTAGCTCCTTAGTGAATGTAAACAAAAGAAAAGAAATGCTAACTCAATTCGTTTTAAGGGGCAAAAGTATGATAAAAAGGAACTTTTAAGGAGCTTAAATTGCAAAGNGAAGGAGCTGAATACATCATTACTAATTATAACATAAACGAATTTGAACTTAAAAACCAAAAATTAAGTTGCCAAGATGATCAATTAAACGAGGAAATTAATGAAATTAAAGATGAAATCGATTTAAGCGATACTGATTTAGAAGAATCAAATTTGGGGAATAATAATTTAATTCTTTCTTCTCAAGATGCGAATGATTCAGGAAATTGTAACCAATTAAAATCCAATCAACATTTAAAAGAAACTCACTCAAACCCAAGATATTATTGCGATATAGAGAACCAATATCGACCTTACATCCCACGAAAACGATCCAAAATCGAAACTTCTCCTTCATCATCAGACACCCTGATGATTTTACCGGAAGTTGTGATTGATGATGGTGATTTAACCGATCAAGATATAAAAGATTTGGTGATAAGCGTGCGGAGTCATAATTTGGGGAGTATGTTTAGCGTGATGAATAGATACTCAGACACTGAGGTTAAAATAAAAAATGTTGTTTTGCACTTTATGGCCGTTGCGAAAGAGATGGATTTAAACACTTTGTGTAATTTGTTGAGTCAGATGTTTAATGTTTTTGGGAATCATTGCAAAACGGATTATCAAACTATGAATGTTTTGAAAACGTTGGGGTTCAATTTGATCCCGAGGTTGGATAAAGAGAAACAATACAAAACTATAAGCGATATACTTACTTTTTTTGCTAACGATTATAATTCTTTCGTAAAATACAACGTAAGAATGTTATTTTAAAACAAATTTATTTTAATTAATTTTTATTTTTAGTATTTTAGTAATGATCGAAAATATCATTCAAACGAGATGAAATACGTGTTATTGTTTAAAATTCTTTGCAGGTGTGACAAGTATAACGATGCGTACGAACTTTTAAAAAATCATGGTAAATATTTTTTTTAATTTTATTATTATTTGTTAAAGCAATAATTTTTTAGAATCCCAATTACTTGAAGTATTTTTACCCGAAACCGAAGTTATTAATGAGTATAAAATAAGCGTACTTAACAAATGTTTGGAACATATAATTGTTAAAGATCCTGTTGAGGCGAAAGATATGATCGTTTATTTAATGTTAAACGCTAACGTCGAATTATGGCCAGGTAAGTTCTAAATAGCTCTAAGTAAGTTCTTATCTGAGGAAGGAAACATAAAATTAAATTAACTTTGCATTCGTTGTGAGATACATTTTCATCAATTTAACCTCAACAATTACAAAGAGTTGAATTAAAAATCGTATCACCGGGATTTATAGAATCGAAGAAAACATTCTTTGTGTGCTAAAACTAGATTAAATTTGCTACAAAATGCTTTTTAAACCAATTTCATATCTCAATTCGTTTTTGGGATACGATTTTTTGAAATTCCATTTTCACCAAGTTATTAATTTATTATCGTATCAGCGGTTTTAAAAAAAGATAGAAACATAACAAAACGAAATAGAAATATAAAATTTTTACCAAATAAAAGAAAAAGTCTTAATTTTATGCCTATTAATGAATTTATGTGTATCAAAATCACAATTAAATAGAATTCCTAGCAAAGAGTATTTTAATTTTTTTTATTTTATAGATTTAAAAATGTACCTCAACATCTTATTAACCCAATTCTTGCATAACTACACGATGGTCAAAGATGAAGTAAATAGCATGTTCGACGTAATTTTAAACGGATGGTACCAATACTTAAAACCAAGCGTTTTACGTTCATTGTTAATAAGCACCCGCTCGGATGTTCCCACAAAGACCATATTAAAATTATTTAACCTCTGTATCGAAATGGGGGTTTATCCCGATCATAAAGTAAAAAATGTATTCATAATTTTTTTTATTTTTACTAATCTTTTTGTAATTTAGGGTAGAGACAATTCAATATCGATCCCTTCGAATCTCCTCAAAGAAGAAATCTCTTTATTGGTGCATCACCAATTTCTGCAAATTTGTAGCTCGCTTTTCCCGATATCCAACATCGTGATAAACGTGACGGAACCTTTGGATGGGGACGAGTACACTCGGCTTCATATCATACTGAAAAGCAACGCTTTAACCACTTCTGATATGATTAATAGGGTGTTAATGGTGTTGGAAAACATCCCAAATTTCCCGGCGAAAGAAACTTTAGATGTTCAAAATCAATATATTGTTATTCCTTATTGTAGCGCGTTTTTACAGCCTTATAAAGATGCGATGAAGAGTGGTGTTGTTCCAAAAATTCCTTAAAATCTATTTTCTTGTTTAAGTGAATTTGTTTAGATTTATATAAATATAAATGTTCTTTTTATTTCAGTTAATAATTAATGAATTTCTTTTAGGTTGTATAAAGGAAACACTTTTTATTTTCTTTATTATTTTGTAAATTTTTCTTATTTAATCCTAATGTTGATTTAATCCTAACATGATAAGCATCCTGTTTAATAACCTGTATTAGGTTACAAAGTTTCATTCAACATTAGTTGAATCACCCAGTATACTTTTTTCCCAGTCGAGTTTCGAACCAACCTCAATTTCAAAATAATTCCGATTAGTTCGGTAATTAAACGATAGATGGCGATATCATTTAAATTACTGATGGTTCGAAACTCGGCTAAGGAAAAAATTATACCGGGTGATTCAAAAAAACATTTAATTTTACGAACATTTTATTTTAATTTCAATTTTTATTTGAATCACCCGGTATAGTTTTTTCCTTAGCCGAGTTTCGAACCAACCTCAATTTCAAAATTATTCCGATTAGTTCGGTAATTGAACGATAGATGGCGATTTTATTTAAATTACTGATGGTTCGAAACTCGGCTAAGGAAAAATTATACCGGGTGATTCAAAAAACATTTAATTTTACGAACATTTTATTTTAATTTCAATTTTTATTTGAATCACCCGGTATAGTTTTTTTTCTTAGTCGAGTTTCGAACCAAAATTTCAAAATAATTCCGATTAGTTCGGTAATTGAACGATAGATGGCGATATTATTTAAATTACTGATGGTTCGAAACTCGGCTAAGGAAAAAATTATACCGGGTGATTCAAAAAAATATTTCATTTTGCGAACATTTTATTTCAAATATAATTTTTATTTGAATCACCCGGTATAGTTTTTCCTTAGTCGAGTTTCGAACCAACCTCAATTTCAAAATTCTATCGAATAGTTCGGTAATTGAACGATAGATGGCGATATTCTTTAAATTACTGATGGTTCGAAACTCGGCTAAGGAAAAAATTGTACCGGGTGATTAAAAAAAACATTTAATTTTACGAACATTTTATTTTAATTTCAATTTTTATTTGAATCACCCGGTATAGTTTTTCCTTAGCCGAGTTTCGAACCAACCTCAATTTCAAAATAATTCCGATTAGTTCGGTAATTGAACGATAGATGGCGATTTTGTTTAAATTTTTGAAGGTTTGAAACTCGGCTAAGGAAAAAATTATACCGGGTGATTCAAAAATAAATTAATTTCGAGAAAATTTCAATCCGGACTACAATTTTTATTAGGATCACCCGGTATAATATTTTCCTTAGCGGAGTTTCGAACCAATTAAATTTCAAAATATAGTTCGAGAATTGAAATAAAGATGGCGCTATATCTTAAATTTGTTGGTTTGAAACTTTACTAAATGAAAATGTGTACAGGGCTATTCAAAAATTTTAATTATTTTAAATTAAAACACCAACAAACTTGTGTTTTCTTTTTTTATTTATTTTTATAGTCAAAATATAATAATTACAAGTGTATTTTTATATAATGATATGCATGCATAAATTTGGACACAAAAACGAAAAGTAACCCATTTCTTTAGAGGAAATGACGATATATTCATGAAGAATTATCTTATTAACTGACTAAAGCTATTGGGGCCTTATCAATAAAAATAGTATTTATATTACTAACTACATTAAGTAGTTTCCTGGATAGTTTTTGGGTATTATTTAGAATTCAATATGTACAGCTTCAACGTTTCTAGAGCTAGCTCCTCTTCATGACGTTTCTTATTACTTTTCCTCTATTAAAATCCTTTGGCTTTGGCTCCTCCTAGATAACCTCACAATTAGTGATGAATCTAAATAATTGTCCATCCTGTGTACTGTTTCCCTACAAGAAATTAAATTTTTATTAAGAAATACGTGTTATCTCTTAAATAGTATTAAAACTAACATTTTAATAATGAAGGCAACACAGAGTATACAGAGGCCGGACTCCGGCTAATAAATTGGCACTCCTATCTATCCTTGTTCAACTAATGAAAAATTCGTATGGTACTTTCTCTCTCACATAAACTGAAACTGTGTAGATGGCGCAATTGTCGCATTACAGTAGTATTTAAACGAACCAATAGATGGCACCATTTATTTCAAAATTTTTAAGTCGCAAACTCGTAGAGTTAAGAGAAAGCAATAGATGGCGCNATCACCCGGTATAGTTTTTTCCTTAGCCGAGTTTCGAACCAACCTCAATTTCAAAATAATTCCGATTAGTTCGGTAATTAAACGATAGATGGCGATATTATTTAAATTACTGATGGTTCGAAACTCGGCTAAGGAAAAATTATACCGGGTGATTCAAAAGAATATTTCATTTTGTGAACATTTTACTTCAAATACAATTTTTATTTGAATCACCCGGTATACTTTTTTTCCTAGCCGAGTTTCGAACCAACCTCAATTTCAAAATAATTCCGATTAGTTCGGTAATTAAACGATAGATGGCGATTTTATTTAAATTACTGATGGTTCGAAACTCGGCTAAGGAGAAAATTATACCGGGTGATTCAAAAAAACATTTAATTTTACGAACATTTTGTTTTACTTTCAATTTCTATTTGAATCACCCGGTATAGTTTTTTCCTTAGCCGAGTTTCGAACCAACCTCAATTTCAAAATAATTCCGATTAGTTCGGTAATTAAACGATAGATGGCGATATTATTTAAATTACTGATGGTTCGAAACTCGGCTAAGGAAAAATTATACCGGGTGATTCAAACAAATATTTCATTTTGCGAACATTTTATTTCAAATACAATTTTTATTTGAATCACCCGGTATAATTTTTTCCTAGCCGAGTTTCGAACCAACCTCAATTTCAAAATAATTCAGATTAGTTCGGTAATTGAACGATAGATGGCGATTTTATTTAAATTTTTGAAGGTTTGAAACTTGGCTAAAAAAAAATTATACCGGGTGATTCAAAAGTAAATTAATTTCGAGAAAATTTCAATCCGAACTACAATTTTTATTAGGATCACCCGGTATAATTTTTCCTTAGCGGAGTTTCGAACCAATTAAATTTCAAAATATAGTTCGAGAATTGAAAGATAGATGGCGCTATATCTTAAATTTGTTGGTTTGAAACTTTACTAAATGAAAACGTGTACAGGGCGATTCAAAAATTTTAATTATTTTATATTAAAACACCAACAAACTTGTATTTTCTTTTTTTATTTATTTTTATAGTCAAAATATAATAAATACAAGTTTATTTTGATATAATGATATGCATGCATAAATTTGGACACAAAAACGAAAAGTAACCCATTTCTTTAGAGGAAATGACGATATATTCATGAAGAATTATCTTATTAACTGACTAAAGCTATTGGGGCCTTATCAATAAAAATAGTATTTATNCCAAGGTCTATAGAACATAAGGTTACCCAATACCGATTCTCCTCCTCTGAGAGGCAAGGTGGGTCAGTGACGTAGCTGGTTCTATGAACAACACAACGCCCTTGTTTATAGATATATCTATAAACAAGGACAACACGATGCGAGGTTTAAATATTTTATATAGACTGTACCACAGTATAGGCACGTTGACACGTATCTATCTTTTATTCTGACTGTATCGAACCAGTGACGTCAATTTGCGGGGTAATAATCGATACTACAGAGGCATAGGGAATGAGGTTTATAGAACCTTATGTTCTATAAACCTTGAAGTTAAGCATCTGGTAATCTGTGGAAGGCAACTTTAAACAATTAAGTCAAATTTTTAAGGTTATGTTTTTTGTTTGTAATGAAAATTTAAAACTATTGTGTATGCAACCCAAATTACAAATATTTAAAAATTACAAAAAACTTAATTTTTTGGTTTTTCTTACTGTTTTTTAATATAACAAATTAATTTTTATGTACCGAATAAATCATATATTATTAATAATTTAAATTTTATAGGTTAAGTTCATAATGGAAATTAAAATCAATCATTTTTAATGAAACCAACTAAACTTATTTGATTGTATTTTCTTGTTGTCTATATAGACATAATTAACACTACATTAATTTTAATTTGTATTAGAATTAGTTAAAATTTAAATAAAATGTATACTTTACATAAAAAATATTTAAGTTAAGTAGTTTCGGAGTATTATTTAGAATTCAATGCACAGCTTCAACGTTTCTAGAGCGAGCCTCCTTTTCAGCACGTTTCTTGTTACTTTTCCTCTATTAAAATCCTTTGGCTCCTTCTAGATAACCTCATAATTAGTGATGAATCTAGATAATTGTACATCAGTTTCACTAGAAGAAATCATATTTTTACTATGAAATACGTGTTATCTCTTAAATAATGTTAATACTAACATTTTAAACGATTTTAATAATGAAAACAACTATTAAGTCAAATTTTTAAGGTTATGTTTTTTGTTTGTATTGAAAATTTAAAAGAATTGTGTATGCAACCCAAGTTACACATATTTAAAAATTACAAAAAAACTTATTTTTGGGTTTTTCTTACTTTTCTTAAATATAATAAATTATTTTATATGTACCGAATAAATCATACATTATTAAAACTTTAATTCATAACGGAAATTAAAACGAAATCAACTTACATTAAATAATTTCCAAGACAATTTTTGGCACTATTTACAACTCAATATGCCCAGTTTCAACGTTTCTAGAGCAAGCTCCTCTTCACCACATTTCTTGTTGCTTTTCCTCTACCAATAACTTTTGGCTCTTTCTAGATAACCTCACAATTAGTGATGACTAATTGTTCATCCTTCATATAGTTTCCCTAGAAGAAATCAAATTTTTACTTTGATATACATGTTATCTCTTAAATAGTGTTAACACTAACTCTTTAAACTATTTTAATAATAAAGACAAAGTTTAATATTAAAAAAAAATTGTTCAAGTCAAACTTTTAAGGTTATGTTTTTTGTTTGTATTGAAAATTTAAAAGAATTGTATATGCAACCCAACTTACAAATATGTAAAAATTACAAAAAAACTTTATTTTTGGGTTTTTCTTACTTTTTTTTAAATATAACAAATTAATTTATATGTACCGAATA